CGTAGCGTCTTATCAGACAGTTGCTCACCACAATCAACTGTGCGACGAAGCCAATGATGGTCAATTTGAACACATACACAAGAGTCACTAATTCACTAAGATTATTAAAATGTCTTTATTTCATTACTGAATGTGTATATACATCTTTTTGGGACACCTGTATTTAGAATTCACCTTATTTCAAACAGATTTTCAGCAGATATTATTAAAATAAAGTTACTTACTCGATCTACTTCATGGCATTTCTTTAACGATTCTCCCCATTTTTCTAGCCTCTGATAAGCCAAGGCACATTCTGTTTGGAACCACATACACTGCATTTCATTCAAATTTTCCATTGCTGAAACACCTTCCTATAAAATTGAAATAAAACATTCAATAACATTACTGGATCAAGTGAGAATGGCAAATCTTTTGCACCTTCCATAATAATTTTTTTAAAAATGCAAACAATTATATTTGCCACTGTTTAATACATAATACCCACTAATGAAAAACAATTTCTAGTGTTAAAAGTCATAACACTGAGTTACTCACTGGTTTGTAAATGAAACTATTGCTCCACTTGTGCCACAGTAATGCAGCAAAGTCACACAATTTAAATCATTCAAATTTTATTACAAACGCAAAGAAATAATAATTTCATACCCTTTCTTCAGTGATACTTGTTATATTTTATTTGTGTGTTCACAAAGTAACTTTCACCACATTTTTTTTCTTCCACAAATAGTCTTCAGTTGTTACATTCAGAAATGCAGCATTTTTAGCCAGCTGACATGGGGTCTATAGTAGGAATTTGTTGTTCAGGAGCAAAACATCTCTATAAATGCACCCCATATCGACAAAGCCCAAGTAACATTTTGAAACAGCTCTTTTTTACAAACAGGTGACCAAAACTTATTACTAAGTATGCTTCCACAATTAGCTGATAGATATTTATTTATCTGTGGTTTACTTAATGACAATGTCAACAGCTCAGACTACATTGTATCAATTATGGGATAATACTAGGAAAAAAATACAAATTATGAAGCTCTTAATTATGTTATTTTCTCCATTCTCCTGTTACTTCCTCTAGTTAGGTCTACATATTCCCACAGAACTTTCTTCTCAAACTGCCTTAATCTATGACGTAACAAATCATAATTATTATGATAACATAACGAGAACAGTAGCAGTGCCGCAGTTGATGATGATGGTTAACATACCCTGGTGAATTTTGAACATGTTTCTTCTGCTTCTTTGATCAAGTTTGCCCGAAGCATATATTTAGCGCATTTAGAATTTATATAACGATCAGCAGTATCAAGCCCTTGGGCTTCATCCAACCATTTGTATGCTTCCATTGCATCCCCACCATGCTGTAAAAAACAAAACGTGCAGGTATAATATGGGGTTACAAACTCACCATTCACCACATCACATAAACCCTGAATCTTAATCCCAGTATGAGATCTGACAATCCAAAAGACCCAAACCCACATTTTCACTGTTGTGATAACCTCAAATGTCATACAACATAATTTAGATTATGAAATTGTGGGTTACTGCACCCTGTAGTCTTCTGATAGTACCTCCAAAACTTTGGTATACACCCTGATAATAATAAGTGCAAGAACCCAGAAGTCCACAAACAAATAACACTGTCGTGAACACCTCAAACACTACCTCCTACAACATAAATAGATATTCTTTGAAAGTAATGGCATAATAAGCTTTCTGTGGCGGAAAACAAAACAATGTTAGTGTGTGGATTTTGACTGCGAAAAACAGTGAATCTGGCTCCTTACCTTATATATCCTACCCTTGGTTACAAATAGCTCAATCAATGTGGGAGTATGATCAATTGCTGCATCAATGTATGACACGGCCCTTTCCGTATCGCCTAAGAAATCGTAATGTTGGGCTAAATAATAAAAAGCCCACAGCAGTGCAGATGCAGGTTCTTTTGGCAAACTTTCTGAATCTGCAAATAGAAGGAAACAAAAAAAAAACATTATAAAGAAAAAATAGCACACATCGTTACGAAAATGGTTTTACAATAATTACATAAACACACCTTGAATCAGAATATTATGTCACTGGCAGAAAAACAGTTCATACAAGAAATACAGTTTCGTATTATTTCTGATTCAGGTCTGCATAATGAAGTGTTCATAAAAGATATTGAAATCCAAAACAATTAGGCAAATACAGGGAGATGTATACTGGTAAAATGTCCGGCTGGTTAGTTTGCTTTACGGAACAAAGTGTGATGAAAACACTTTGATGATATGTCCAAAAAGGGAGACCAGTCCAAGGATCAACCATTAGAAACAACAAAAGACCTCCCAAAAATGAAGCAGGACTGCTAATTAGTCCCTTGAGATGTTTCGTAAAATATTCTGAAACAGAAGTGTACTGGACGATGAAATGCTGATATTTCTAACCAGCAAATGGGATCGGCAGTATATTAATTACTATCATAAATATTTCACTTACCTTCTTCACTAAATCTGCAAACCTTCTGAAGTGCATCGACATACTGTAGGACCAACTTCTGTATAATGTCTACTTTCTCTGGGTCCTTATACAGAGACCGAAGGTCCACAAACAGTGGTGGCACACCTTTGTGCAGACCCTGTCTTAGATATTTGTCAACCAATATCCTAAACTCTTCACCTGAAAACATGAAGCAACAAATGCATTGATTTATTTTCCCATGTAACACATCAAGAATTCTCTCACTTGAGAATTTGTTAAATAAAAAAGGATATTAAGATAATCTGAAAAGAACAAGAAAAAAGTTCTAGTCAGTCTACACAATCTAATATTTAGAAATAACAGACAATTACTAAATGAAGTCACAATTCACACCTTACAGAAAAAGAAGATAAAAATGTCTAAAACAAACCTACTTCAGATGTTTTAAACTGTGCGATGAGGATAACAAATACAATAATTAATAGTTATGTAATTTAGTGATCCATTTTTTCTGATTGTACTCTTCTGGTTGTAATGATACATGATCGTAAGTTGTTATAAATGTTACACCAGAATGCTGGTAACCACATATAAGACCACATAGTACCACAGCCCACAAGACCCCGATCAATGTCTTAAATAAGAGGACTGGAGATACAAAATACCACCGAGCCAACAACATTGAAAGAACATAATGAAAAAGATAAGTAAAATTAATATTAGAGTACCATCTCTAAAGGACAAGAGGCTTACAAATGCACTAAGGAGATAGCAAAGTCAACCACTGAAAGCTGAAAATAATACAGGCTAACAGACCTAATATGTAACACTCATTCCTACCTCAGTTCCCTGACACTAATTTTTATTTATTTTTTTTTTCCCCCCCCACACACACACACACACAGAAAAGGGCATGCCAGACAAATCTCTCCTTAATTCACCTGTAGCAAAGGTTAGTGGAAGTCGTCTTGGTGCAAGAGCTCGTGGAAACAATTCTTGAAATTCCGAAAACATTTTTAGTTTCTCATTTGCTGTAATCAGCTGCTGAGCTTCTTGTAATTTGGCATAATATATTGTATTCTCTGGATTCCTCATAAGTAAATCCTTATAATATACTTCCGCTTCTGTATACCGTTTCAACTCCAAGTTCAGTTTTCCTGCAACGTAAACTCAAAAAATCAGTAATGCAAAATACACATAAAAGCACAAGTCCTATAGGACATTGATTCACTTATTTAGATAAATATTATGTGCCCCCACTTATTTCTAAACTGAGTACTTTTAATTCTTCAGTGGAGGACAGCGTATTTAAACTGTGAGGTTTGAGGTTCTGACACCAACGGCTCTCTTCTGGGATGTTTTGCCATGTAGTCTGGTACATATTCAATGTTTCAGAGGTGATTACAGCTCCATCAGAACAATGAATGATACAAGCAGTGAGTGCCCCTGAAATGTTGGTCAGCCTTGAAGAAGGAGACGGTGCATTCCCCAAATCATCGGTATCTACCGACAAGTCCACGTGGTTTTATAACCCAGATGATCAATGTCATCAAACACAGTAAACTGAAGTCACGACATCTGGCATATAACTTACCTACGACCAATAAAATCTTCTCGGGAAATCAGCCACATCAACTGGTTTACTATGGTAACCAGCTGACGCAGCTGATTGCCCGAGAAGATTTTATTGATTGTACTCGCTGCAAAAGTCTCAAATCCTATAACTTACCTAAGGTTTCCTTGATGGAAAGCTTATCACAGATCTGATCACTGTACCGAGTTAAGTGATCGAGAGCTTCCTTCAGTGCTCCTGACTCTTGTATAACCATATTCTGGTATAACAATAGTTCACTATGCTCATAGTCGAAAGAACTCTTCTGAAAAGCAACAAAGGCCAATCAAGCTTAGAATATTCATATTAATATCATAAAATGCAACTTTAAACTTAGTCACAACTACAATGTTATTTACACAACAAATGAATGGGTCCACAACACAGACCAAAAGCAATGAAACTCAGAGAATCATACAATCTTACCTCTAAATTTAAATCAACCCTTTTATTGGGTTACCCTAAAATAGATTGAACTAGACACTACTTATCTTTGCTGCTAATGTATGATGTCTTAAAATACTTTTACATTCAAATACACACTTGCAACATCTTACAATCAATGAACATAAATATTATATATCTCAAGCTTACCAACTGCGTTTTACGAAATTCCTCTAATATCCTCAATGCAGTATCATAATCCTGGAGAAGGTGATATGCCATTCCAAAACCAATCCATGATGCACGTTGTGTTGGACGTAACATAAAGAGTTGATATCTGGTATCCTGGATTGACAAAGCATGTTTTGACAGCCTATATAAATAATAACTTCCAATATGTCAAAATATATATGTACACACATAACACAATCTCATAATAAATGCAACAAAGAACTAAGAACTTCGGTAAATAGAACAGCAAAATCTCCTTACCCTATACCCTTCCAAATCTCGCATCTGGATCTGTAAAAGGGATAAATCCCTCAAGATTTGAATGTTGTCTTTTTCCCATTTAAGTGCATTGCGATAGCACTTGATGGCTTCATCATACTTCTTATCAGAACGCTGAAGCAAACCGTATACATGCCAACAGACGTGTGACTTGAGGTCGTTGCGTAGTCCACGTCTCACGTGCTCATATGCTTCGTCTTTACGGCCCATGCAGTTGAGGGTTAAACCCTTCATGGCAAGGGTCTCTAGATAGATACATGACAGTTGAAAGAGCTAATAAGTTCCCATTTTAACAATATACAATATACCTTACTGCTAGTAAATACAATATAGCATAACAGACAAAAGACTTACAGACTGCTACTATTGTAAAACTGCAGCATCATTATCCCCTACAAATGTTTATGGCATTCAAACTTTTGAACTCCAAAACCATTAATATTATCATTCCGACCATTTTATACATCTATTCTTCATCAAAAGAATGTGATTTCGCATATATATTGTATAAAGATAAATGGAGTCATATATATGCAACATTGAATTAACATAATTTGAATACCACATGTTAACAGAACCTATTTTGTGCCACTGTTCTCATACAAGCAACAATGGTGGAGAACAACTGTTACAATGTGATAACATACTGCATTAACTATATGAGGGAAGGCTTACATTGTGTACAAGGATACCTTTTCTGACTACTCACTATTTCCTGCATGCACATTATGACTGACACTAAACTTCAAATTTGAATTTAACCATATTCATATTTCTGACTGCATGGTTCACCTTTGCTGTTCCAGACACAGGATGTAATAAACACGGAAGCAACTCATATATTAACAAGCTGACTTAAAGGATTAAAGAGAGTGAACTTCAGAATCAATACACTCTACCATATTTTACATTGGATGCTTCTATCTTCAAGATCTTACTCACCTCCATGCTCTGCATATTTTGGGTTGGACAGGATCTGTTTTGCAAATTTTAACCCATTTTTGTACTGCTTTTGCTCATAGCACTTCTGAAATAAAGGAGCAATTGTGGCACCATACTCAAGTCAATCATCATGAATATAGGTAAAAAATTGTAATTAAGTGTAAACAAAAAAGTGGTTAATACACCAGTCACACTGTAGTAAACAGTAAAACCAAATTGAAATGACTTGGAAGTTGGAAGAAACAATCACATTTCCTAGTTATTCAGTACCACATGAATAAAAAAATTAGGTTAGGTCAGTTTGTTAATCATGAACTTTTCTGTTGGCATAAACCTAGTCTTTTGAAGATAGAAATTGTATCTCCATAAGACTTTATTTACAGTTGTGCTAACGCTACAAATAAATTACACAGATTTAAATTCATAAAGGTTCATAGGCAATGCAAATAGTGTTAAAAGTTCATAGTAATCGTTTGGTCCAGCCCAAAGACCTTCATTGGTTGACGTTTGGGTGTGGATTATTTTTGTACATACAAAATATCAATACTTACCAGTATACGCTTAAAAAGTGCATTTTCTTTTGGTGGTAAGGGATTACTTGAGGGCATCCTAGACTTTGCACGAAATCCGGTAAATCTTATTTTTCTTCACTAAACCTCGTGGCCTTAATCCAAGATGGCGTTGCAGATCACGTGATCGGAATATCATCCCAAGCGAATAAGCGAAACGATGTCATGGAATATTTAGCGCGACATATAAATAAGGTGCAATGTGTTCCAATAGTCAGTATTATTATATTAATTAATATATTTACATGAATAATTCATAACGTTTCCAAATGGACACGCATCAAGGACAGTTTTCTCGGTCTAATTTATTCCGAGCTAATCAAATTTTGTAATTCCCTACCAAAATAAATAAGAATTTAATATGAACATACATGAATAATAATAAGAGGTGGGGGATTGGATAATGTTGAAATAAATATATCCTACTGTTGGTCACTTGTGTGAGCAAATTTTTTGCGTTCGGATAAAACAATCCTTGCCAGAATTTTGAGCTGTTCCTGTGCCTAATCACACACCTCACTTTTAGAAAATAAGTATGTGGTACTGGAGGAAGTGTTACATTCCTTACCTCAGCACTACATGGAGGTGATCAGCTACACACTGGCTCCTTTGCCCCTGGGGAGGAAAAATTCACCCCCAGAGCCAGTCTAGATCCCCTGCCAAGAGTTTAACCCCAAATATACACCCACTATACTGAGCATTCTCTTTACTTCATTCAATGAGCTCAGAACATAGTCCAAGGGCAAAGGTTTATAAGTGCAGCAATGAATCTTCAAGTTACATGAAACAGAAAGTTTCTTTACCAAATAAACTGCCAATATCAGCAGTCAAAAAAAGCCCCTGTAACATAAGTTATACTAGTTACAGTCTTAATGTTATGAACAATAACATTTTTCTAAAAAGCATGTGGTACTCAGATGTTGCAAGGAAGGTTGATAACACTTTTTTGTTTCTTTCTTTTTTCTTTCTCTCTCTCTTTTTTACAGAACAAATATTCCAAAACTATGAAAACAACACATTAATTTTAAGAAGGTGAACAACAAAAATTACAGGGTACCTCTTCTGTTCACTGTATACAGAAAGGTTTTTGGATCAGAAAGCCTAAAATACACTCTGCTGCCAGTCAAACTTTATGTTCTTCATCATGTCATCTTTATTTTCACAGTTTATGTTCCAAAAGAAGCAACATCTAGTTTACTCACTGTATATGATCCTCCCTGCTAGCTGGAATTACTCAACAAGCAGCTTCCATTGATCATAGATAATAATTTTATTTTCACATGTACACCACTATTCTAAATGGAACAAATTTCCCTCTCTGGACTCAAATATTTGAGAGAGAAATTAAAAAAACACCGCAAAGTAAAACAAATTTGTTTTTTACTTGACTAGTTACAGTTGCACATAAAATGTACAGTACTGTAATCAGATCTGATAACTTAGATAAAGCTGTAAAATGAACATAGTCTCATCTAACTGAAGCTCTGCCTCATTCAGCCTGTTGATCATTATTCGAACTTTCTCAAGCAATGCCTGCTCTGGTGGTGTCAGCATTTCTTCAATCTATAAAACACAGATTAAAATTAAAAAAAGTAAAGGTGAAAGGTAATATTTTTATGAGTAAGGTTTTAGCATAAAGGCCTACTAATAAATCTGAAAACTTTCAACAGATGTTACACAAATGGACAAAAGACTGAAAACCATTTGTTCATTAAAACATTTCAGAAGATAATACTTAAACTATAATCACAAACAAACGAGGAATTGGAATTACTCATTGCACATTAATGGAAAACTGACAAACAAATTATTCAAACCTGTTTTAAAGCATCAGTTGTAATTTTTAATACTGATCACTTAAAATAACACATCTTGGTGTATTATGTCTACTAAGAGGTATAAGAATACATGTGAGAGAGCCTTCTCCTTTAACTTTGGAGTCAAATTTTATAATAAGACAGATATTTAACAAGTTTGCAAAAGAGTTCATCACAAAGACCAAGAATATTTCATGTTTAATTCTAAACTGTTATTCAGACTTACTCTGTTTTGAGGATTAAACAAAATTCTGTGTTTATCCTTAAACATTCATAACATTTAAAAAATATCAGACAAGAGTTGCATATGTTCATGAGGTAAATTCTTCACAAATTGAGTCATTTGTAACTGACAAGTATGTAAAGACATATCACTGAAATACTAATACTACAACAAATTTTCACAAGACATAGTAAGGAAACCATTGTAAGGAAAATATTTACTTACTTCTGCCAGTTGTTCAGAAGTTGCACCCTGCTCCTTCATATTAAGCGTGATTAACTCAATTCTCTGTTGCTTTTCAATCATCCTACGGTTCTCACTCCTCTCATATTCCCTCCGAGTCATAGCATTATAAAGGGCCTTGCAACACATTTCAAGAACCATTCGAGCTACCTAGAAAATTGTACATAATTACTTCACTAATAAGAAACATTTTACTTCCTAAAACTGTTGAACTTTCTAAATAAAAACTCTTCTGTGGAATAATAAAGTGTTCTCAGTTAGAAACAAAGCTGAAAAGAAATGGTGATACAGTATCTCCTTGTTTCAGACAATTCTGAACAGGAAATGCACCAGACAAATATTTACCCACACAGGCTTTATGAATATGAAGCAGGAGGGCTAATAAAGAGATGGCATGAAACTGTAATGGGCCACATGGCCTAATACCTAGAAGGATGATTGATGATGCACTACTATGTGATCATGTCAAAGGCATACTTAAATTAATTGTTCTATTCAACAAAACAATCTTGCTGCTAATGATGAATACACTCATTACACGTAATTATAATGTTGCTGTGCAGAGTATATTTTAAATTTCTATAACAATTTACAAATGAATATAAATAAATAAATTTACCTGATTTAAGTCAATATAAAAAAGGAAGAATGTTTTGTTTGGGACATTGCTGGCTAAGGATTTACGCAGTTCTTGCATCTGGAGAAAATTTTCTTCCAGTAATTTGTATGTCAAAAGTTTGGCTTCCTTTGCAGGTATCATTGCTATTTGCTGGATCTGCTCTTGTTCAACAAACTTTTTTGCCTTGACTAGCCTAAGGAAAACCAAAGCCATTTACAGATGACTATTATATTATAACATACCATGTTAAAAGATGAAATTTACTGGCACATAAAATTCACCATCAATACACAGACTATAACTATATGAATCTATTACAATAATTAAATTTTATAATTAAATAATTATAACGAATTTTTAAATCATGTGATGAATAAGTTACTGCACCTGATCATTCATTTTGTAAAATTTACTTTCTTAATATATGTATAACACAGTTGTTGAAAGTACAGTGAACTAATTTATAATAATTCACTAATTACTATAGCATAATTTTACCATGCCTGATAAAATGAGGCTTCATTAATATGTTTCTTCTAGCAAATTCTCATTATAGGTGTTACTAGTAAAATCAAACATCCACCACATAAACTTGGGTCAATTAAACTGCATAATTACAACAATAAAATCTCTTTACCTGTTAGACACAATACTTAATTTAATGGCTCCCTCAATAAATAAAAAAAGTGTCAACAATACTTAACCACGTTCAGTGACAGACCTTTACAAACCCATAAGTTAACTAAAAATAACAAACAAAAAATAAACATTATAGCATATTCAAAACTACAGAGAAGAAGGCCACATAACTTCAAAGCAGCCCACAAACATAATAAAATGCACAAAATATAAAACCTTATAAGGAATTAAAAATTCTGTATATTGAAATATGCTAGTTTCCACTTTTGAAATAATGTGAATGAAATGATAATTCTCAAAATAGTACACACCTGAAGATTCTTGCAGCTTTTGAGCCAAACCTTTCCATTACAATATTTTCAATAGTTGCCCATGTAAGCTGAATGAAGGCTGTCTTCATGTTTAGGCTATACTGTCCACCTGAACTATCTCCAACCTTGCTAACAAACCCACTAGAATCCTCTTCTGGAATGATAGTGTTACATTGAAATATATGTCAGATGAGCACAATGTTTGAAATAAATTAAAATATTTAAGAACAGTAATTAAAAACAACTTGTGAAGTGACTTTACAGTGAGTTTACCACAGATAAAATAATTTTCACAAATGTAATGTTGCTGGCAACTATCCTAGACATAAAACAGACACAATGTTGTAAACAGAGAAAACAGAATGTTAAAGGATGACCCCAAGATAAATAAACTATAATGTACTATATACACTTATAAATTTGCAGAAACTATATGTAAAACACTTTATTACGTGAAAAAATTAAGCAGTGAAATATATAAAGACAAGAAACAAATTATAATCAAAAAACTGACACTGCAATAGTCATACCTTGATTATTCTTCTCTGCTAATGGTTTTGACAGAACAACTGACAAGTAAGCCATGAAATTTATGTGACCAGTGGTGCATGCTTTTTGATTAAGAAACTTGTCAAAGTTTACTGCAAGAAATAGGATTGTGTTCTTTTACATACATAAACATACCCATAATTTTCAAGTACTGATCCACATATTGTGCCAAAAGGGGATAAGAACTCTGCTTGCGAACCGCTTCTCGTAGTTCGGTGAACGGAACAGGATTTGAAGTGGCAACCCAAGGTTCTGTTCTTAGATACATCTGCTTAAGAAGTTGCCTCAACAGTTCTCCAGCATTGTCATCCAAACGTCGAGAAATTGCAGACACCATGATCTGATCCCTACATTTTGAATAAATGGTAACTACAAGATGAAAGAACATAGATTACATTTTTATGAAATTAGATACTGGTAACCACTTGGAAAGACGCTCTGAATTAAAGAAAAAAGATCACCTGAAATCCTGATGAAATCTGTCAAGATTGACTCTCCAACAGATACCTTCATCTCCTGGATTTCCAGGTTTCCCTTCTTCTAAGTCTGAAAGACCTTTCAAATTTATATCTGGTGGAAGATATAATTGTTTCTCCTTTATTGTCAACTCTGGGACATCTTTCTCTTCACTGGGATATGGACAGCGCATCACAAATTGTTTATTTACAAGGACTAAAAACTTATCGCGTAACGTCACAAGGCACACCTTCTCCACTGTAATATAACACAAGCACAAGATGTTCTTAATATAAATATTGTTACTTTGTTTCTTAATAGTAACTATTTACTTGCTTCCAACAACTGATATTCATTTTACATAACCCCTTCTACAGCAACCTTAAAGTTTAATCTATTTGGAATTTCTGTTGAAAATGTGCTACTAATGTTTGGACACTGTAACATATCCATGACAGGAGATACAAACAGTACTGGATCATTATATATAAAAAATATTTACATGAACATGTTTATATCTAACTCAACATTACCGGTGATGGACTGGCACACACTATTTTTGCTTTGATTATGGAATTGTACAATGCTGCACAACTTCAATGTTTTTCTGTGGGAAAATGAGCCTCTACTCATTCTCTTAACAACTGAATCTGTTTTTAAGAACTGTGTCACTTGAAATAAAGACAACACAAACGTATGGTATTTTATCTCATCTGACTTACAATTTATGTATCACTGCTTTATAAATAGTATATGACAAATTCTTCTCACACAACATAAAATAACAGTCCAATAAGTGCTACACTAGTTCAATAACATAACTTCCCTTTATCAGAAATGTGTGTTACCTTTTAGTGATTCCTTAAGTCTTGTGGCAGCCCTGATGATAACACGTGAGGCAGTATCCTTGCCCTGCCTCAGTATTTCTTCTATAAGCATTTCCGCCTCATCACCATATTGTGTTTTCATCAGTAACAAATATCTACAAATATTACATAAAACACTGCATTCATTGGTAACTCACATAACGTGTTTATCGAAACACATACTAAAATGTTATTTTCTTCTTCTAGAACCTACCTGGGATACCGAAGTAGAAGAACAACTTTGTCAGCTAACAATGTATATTCTGCTCTGTCTGGTAACTGACCCATGGAAAATGTCACAAAATCATACTGAATCATGATTCGTAAAGCCTCTTTCACCTAAAAATAAGGCTTTAGATTTAATGACACATTAATTCAATCTGTCAGTAAACAACTACTTAAAGAAGATACTACTTCTGACAATTTAACTTGAAGGTTATATCTGTATCCTGTAGTTATGCTGTGGACATCTGAATTTGTGTAGTTCGTATAATTAGTGTAATACCAGCACAAATTCTTTTGACGGCCAATTGTTATTATGCTCTATGTACCTGGAGCGAGAATCAAGCAAACTGACTTCTCTACATTTAATCTACTTCAAGAACGAGTATCGCTAATACTGTACGTTAATAACTACAACTACCAGTTTTACTTCCTATTTAATTACTTGTCAATGTAAATAAAACAAGGAATGTTATTTCATAACGTGTAGTCAATAGTTGGTCCATTGTATTTAGTACCTTTTGAAGAGGCAGTTTCGTACTTCCCGGTATCAAGCGTAATGGCTTCGACTGACATTTATATAAATCATTTCCAACTTTTTGAACAATTTCACCAAAATGTTCTAATAAAATCAATGAACACAACGCTCCAAATTGTGTTGACATTTTGACGATAAAAATGACTCTCTTTTCAGGTTAAAGCTCTACGAACACACTAACTGGCAAAGAGCACATACAAACTTTCCGCACGGATTACAAACTTACCATAGGTGACAAAAACATATGAAAATTGGCATACTACAGTACTACCATCTATCTTCATAAATATAATCGAAACAATGGTGGTACCAGAGGTCGATCGGCTAACACGTTAAATTCTCCACCGTTATCTGGAAAGAAATTAATATAGCCCCCCCCCCCACCAAAAAAAACAACTAACTTTTTAACGCGTATCAACTACATGTTTCGTTTTCACTGTAGCGAACTTTTCCATGTTCTGTTTTTGTAGACTTCACTTACTAACCCATCACATAAAAAAAAACAATTTACTTTTGGGTTGTAAAAATAAATGGCGCTCATTTCAAACACCTACACTAGAATCACTAATTCACAAAGTGCTAATGCTGATGTATGCGATGGTTTTGCTAATTAAAATGTCTTATTTCATTTACTGAATGTGTGTATATGCATGTTCTTTGGACAGTCCATACATTACATACATTGTGATGCCAGCTATACACAGAATCCAATAATTTTAAAAATGTTATGAAAGAGGAACAACACCTTACAAAATAACTGAATGCCTGTGAACTGGTTGAAGGTCTCACTTCACTAATACCATACAGACTGACTGTTCCATTAAACTGCATGTACACTGTTCAATTATAATAGGGATGTAAAAGATGTAAATTACTAATTATGGTCATGTTTAATGTAGATATTAACATGTATTGACAAAGGAAGATGGATAGGAAATCAAGAAGTGTTACAATGACAATTCATAACTTTCTTAATGACCGATCAAATTTGAACAAAGACTCCTGTACACATATATTTCCAGGTGCTCTGTCGTTTACACACACACACACACACACACACACACACATATTAAAACCACAGGAGTAAAAAAACTAACTAAAATAGTAATTCATTGAGTTTAGTAATACTTAAAAATGTAACCTTCCTCTGACAGCAGTATATCTTGCCTTATAAAATGTTTTCACTTTATTCACAATTCATAACATTCTTAAAGACAGATCAAAACTACAAGGCTGTTGAGCAACATACATACTTACTAATACAGAAGTTCTTTGATCATTCTGTAGCATTTTCAAATCTCTTTACTGATTTTCTGAATTTATAAAGACAAATACGAGTATGTCTGTGGGTTAGTGGCACAATTAACTTTTCAATAGGAACAATTACAAATTAAAATAAATTACCATAACAAAACATATAAATGCATACAAAAAGAACTAATGAATACCATATTCACTGGCATAGATATTGTACCATTTTTATAGTACAGAATTTCAAGTGTTTAAATATCAGCATGTTTTCTTTATGTTGCAAATAGATATCTCACATTAAATTAAGAGCATTTTTCAGTGGCCACAGTATGTTATGAGTTTGTTTCCAAAAGACTTTCAAGAAATCAAACTGCCTGCAAGTAGAAGACTTCTGGAGGCTCAATCAAACAGGCCATGTCTCCAAAGCAATGTCTGACATGACAGATACCACTTTAAAGCTCATGAAATTTTCTGCAATGTCAGTGCAGTTCAAAGGGAGCCGCAAATCAAGCCACCAACAGTAAAAAAATCCACAATTGTTTTTTATCTTTCAATATAAGGAAGTATTGTGTGTAAATTAAAATTTGATGAAGATTAAACAATAAAAACTGCCATGTATTATAGTGGTAGCATGTTCCTTGATTTTGGAAAATAATTTGTATTTCATGGTTTGAGTTCATTTTTGCACATGCATATATTTTTCACGTGAAACTGTTCCATCTATAATTATCTTGTGCACACTGAAAGTTCTGGTGTGATAATTTCAATGTGTAAGCCAGATCTATTGACAGGGTTTATTCAGCAAAGTAAACAGAATTTGTTTTTGGCATATAAATGCCATTCTTTAAGATGAAGTATAGCTTAAAACATCAAACTGGCTTTGATATTCCATCATATGACTTGTTAAATGTCTTTGCAGAATACCTATGACTTCCTACTATTATGTTATACTAGTAATTTGAGTACCCAACATGTGAATCCAAGAGTAAAGTAGGATAAGTCACAGAATTTCCAAACAAAATGGCCGAATCCTACTTTCACATTGGAATAAATGTACTATCTATATACCAGTAAATATGCTACTCAGATGTAATACCTGAATGACATCTGTAAATCCAATAATTTCATAAACATAAAACATGAAGAATAAGTAACATAATGATAAAAGATAGCAAATATTATCTGCTGTAAGGAACATTTGCCAGAACAGAACCAATTAAGAACATTATCTACCAAATTCAAAGTAATGAGATTTTTGTTAACAAAAGATTTAGACTACTTACAATTATACTTAAAAATCATATTTAAAACATATAACAACATGACAGAATTTGTTTAAAAAAAGGAGAAAATATACTTCCACCACTGACATTTTAAATATCACACACTCCTAAGATGACTGGTAGCAAGACAATACTACATTTACCAGAATGCAAGGTGAGCCAATTTATCACTTTATGCTTTGAAAAAAGAAAAGGCATTCTTGAATACCAGGAAAAATTACTGTATACAGTAGCACTTCATGTATTTAATTGTATTTTACAGCTTTCTATTGGGGAATCACAGACAGATCATAATGGAGATAAGGATACAATGTTATACCGCTGAATATATTCTTTACAAATGTCATGGAAAGAAAAGACAAAAAAAGTAATCTAAACATGATAAAGATTTCAACTTCAAAAATATATTTTAAAGCCACATAATTACCTACACTGAAAAATTAATATTGCAGCTGTGTAATGTATATTACCATGTAAAAGTTCTAATCATTTATAACAGTAACAGTGTCTATAATATTACATTTCTACACTTTGTATTGTATGGAATAATATTGAATTTGGGTAAATATACTACTTATGCTGCAAAATCAGTATTACTCAACAAACAACATGTATAAAAATGCTTAAACAACTTACATATATTTAAAATCTGAGCAATAGTTCTAAAAAGTTTCATTATCCTCACTAATACAACAGATTCATGTCTACACATATCTGGTAAAAAATTGGCCAAATGCATAAGAAATCACAGCCATATTTAAGACCTTTACGTTAAGTTTTAAAATACAAACAGGATTTCGTTTTGGAAACCCTTTATGAAAGTTGGATTTTACCATTATACTCTTGGCTGCAAAGGATCACTTGATATGTAAACTTTTATCTTTACATCGGCAAATAGTTCTATGATGAGCGAATATGTTTTATGTTTACGAGATGTACGTCAATAGAGAAATGACATGCCACTATGCTACTGATTTCAACTTGCTGAGTTGCAAGTGTAAGGTTAATATCATATAAACAAAAATGTTAAATGGGAACAAATGAAATCAATAACAATTATATGAAATTAACACCTTATCTGTATCAGTGACAAATTCTTATGTCACAACACTTCAGCCTTAATTTCTATAGTCTTCACAAACTATGAAATAATTTCTGTTTCATCCCACGCCATTTCTTGCAAGAAAAACAAGGACTTCAATGAAAATGAGAATATATAAGTAAATTGTGGGAAATTTAGCTGATTATAAGCTTTCCTACATCATCACATCACAATTTTGAGGCTTCAAAACTGTTAGATGAAGAAGAGATGTGTATCTGTACACAAATGAAAGAAATGGAATGAACAAATTCTATTGTAATTGGGGGGGGGGGTTTACAAACCATTTTTAGGAAATGTATCATTTACTTTAAAAAAACAGTAATGTCTTCAAATGGGTATCATGTGATGTTAAAATATTTTCAAACATGAGCCATGCATATGATTTATGCTTTTCTAAAATTAGTCACTAAACTGCTTTAGGAAACAAATTCCAAGCACATTCTACCATCAAAATCCTTTGCATTTTAAATACATGTTCCCATTTAGCATGCATCCATTGTATTATTTGCTAAATGGATGTGGTGTCCACATAAGTCATAACATCTCAGGAGGAAGATTATTTACACCTTGAGCACTATGGTCCAATAAAATTAAGGACCTTGACATAAGCTGTGGAAAATGTGGTTTATAGAGAAGTGGGGGGACCTGCCACGAAATGCTAACCTGTAATACAAGTTTAGAATAAAATGAAGTTAAAAGAAATAATTTTTGACATATAGCATATCAAGTAATTAGAGGTTTTACCAGTACCTCGGTGCCAAATTGCCACAAAATAAAAGACAAATCCTCAGATATAAATAAACTACAGTGCAGCAAGGTTGGCACACGAGTAGTGACAAATGTTGAGAAAGGATAATATGCTACAAAATCTTGAGATGAGAAGCATCCACCTGTATACTAATCAACCATGAAAAATAACTGCATAAAACTCCCTACTGATCGCACAAACAGTGTACTTACATTTCACAAAATAAACATGATGTATGCTCTTCAGTGCCAAAACAGGAAGCACATCAGAAAACATTATATTACTGCAGAAAAAACATATTTTATAAGTTAAAATAACTTCTACTATAAATAATTTGAAACAAGTTTTAACACATTCCAGTGTCCAGTTCTTACCCATATTCTTCATTAATGTTTTTTCAAGTTCCTCAGTACTTTATTGTAAGTGGTGAAAAATATTACTATGCACCCATTCAACAGATACTTCATACTCGTAAAATGCAAATGGTTCATAAAATCAGAGAAAGGACAGGATGGAAGGTTGGATGAATTTATCACAGGGAAATGGCATACACTTTCCACAACATGAGACAACTGTAAGATAACCTTACCCCCTCTTCAATGCAATAAAGAAAGTGGAATGGATTATAGTAACTCTTATCTGTAGGCGTTCCTATCTAGTTAAGAATCACATTTGTATATTTGTTGAACATTTATTACCATCACATTTACTGGTTGTGAATCTTCTCCAAGGGACTGAGTACCAGAATCACGTCTAGCACGCTTGTGAGAATGACCATCAATACTGACATCTTCATCAGAAAGACTATGAGAGCGTGCTGGCGGCTGCTGAAATGAGAGGCTCGAACTTGAAGTTGATCCCAAAGCTTCAAAGGGCCGTTGTGGAAGACTGTTTGATGAGGTTCCACAAGAGGAGTTTGAAAGTCCTGAGTCAGGAGCACTGGCAACATTTACTGCTTGGTTTGGAACAGTCACTTCACTGTTACCAGTTTCATTATTTGAGTCCTCTGCATTGCTAGCTGATGCCTGTTGTCCATATCCACTGTAAATAACAAAATTATAAAAGCAATGTGTATGCCAAGTGCTCGGTATGAAAAATTAAAAAAACCACTATTAAATCATACATAAAAAAATACTCAAGGAAGAAATGTGAAATACATTAAACCTCTCTGGATTTTAAAAAATACATGTAAGATTTACTGAATTTACTCAATGAACCCTCAGGGGGTTGCTAGTCCCCCATCGGGCACCTCCCCAGGTTGCGGATAGGGGAATGCTTCCCAGATATGGGTGGTACCGGGGAAATCAAATACCCGGGGCGGACAAAAACTAGCATAGTGGAGGGCAGCAGCGACCACTATTACCAACTTGAAGCGTAAAGGAAATGATCCTGGACCGGTTCGAGGCTGGATTACCACAAGCATGGCTGGAGCAGCTTTAATGGTTGTGGTACTGCGATGTGGAAAGCAAATGGAAAAACTACCACATTACTTTTTTCCAGGACAGCTTCTGCCCAACAGGAGCAGTCACAATATGCATGATGCTTTCTCCAGAGACAAAACAATCCGGAGGTAAACTATTCCTCCATTCGGATCTCCGGGCGAGGACTGTCTCGGACTGATTACAGGACCATCAC